AGGAGTCGTGAACGAGCGGTTAGGGTCAGACTCCCAAGTCGTTGCGCCGTTGTACTTGCGGATGTACTTGTACTGAATCTGGGTATTGGCCGGGAGGTTCACAGTGACTAGCGCAAAACAAGTTAGTGCAAGTCGAGCGATGGGAGAACCCGCTTACTCTTCCATTGCGGGTAGCTGTTGGCAGAGAGGATCGGCGCGTTGTTGGGGTCCCAGTTGGCGATCGCGGGCTGGTTACCAGCGAGGTAGATGTTCTCTGCAAGACGAATAAGTAAATGCAGATAAACTAATGCTACCGTACTAACCTCCAAAGACGGTCGTGGCAGTGACTGTGAAAGAAACCGCGACAGTTCCTCCACCTCCACCGCCAGTCGAGCAAGTAGCCGGAACGGTAAGGCCAGAGGCACCCCACGATGCGGGGACGTTGGAAGCGCGCGCCTCGAAAGCGGTGATAGCTCCAGCGTAACTCCAGGTAAGCTGAGGGAAACCATTAGTCACTGTCCTACAAATCTACAACACATCTGTGCTTACGTCGGCAGCAGAGAGTGGAGCTCCGTTGGTCTTTGAGAACTGCTCAGCAAGAGCGCCCCCGGAGCCCTGGTACTGTTGAACGATCGCAATGAAGCCCTCGGCGTAGGTCTTGACGGCGTTGACAATGGCAGTGTACTGGGTGGTGGTAGAAGCATATGTTCCAACGGCTGCGCTCGAATAGAGCTAAAATCAGGTGGTCAAATGCCGTTCGGATGCACTGTGGCGGTGAACTCACCTGGGTGAAGAATGCCAAAGAGGTGGAAGTGATCGTGATGGACTTTTGTTTGTTCCAGGTGTACAAGGCATCGTAAAGCTGCTCAGCGGCGGCAGTAGTGCACAGATACCAAGGCTAATTACCCGAGTGTGAGTGGTAGTTTGGAGATATGTGAGCGATCAACTTACATTGCCGTTGTAATAGACGTCCTCCTTGTAGCGACCGACAGCGACGGCAGCATTGGCAGCCTTGCCGCTGTTGATGGAGTAGACGGAGCGGAACGAGTCGACGACTGCCTTGTGGTTAGCGAGAGCCTGTCGTTGTCATTCAGTCAACACCTGACTGGCACATAGTAATGAAGCCGCAAACCTTGTCAGAGCATGGCTGGAAGGTTGCAGCATCACAGCCAGTAGCAGGGTCAAACGTGTGAATGCTGGCCAAAATCGAGTTGGCGTCGAGACCCGAACGAACGACAGACCCCCCGTTGACGTTGGAGGACGCGTAACGTTGAGTGGGGTTCCAGTAGCTCTGGAGGAAGCATAATGCATTTGCAGCCTGGGCGGTATACGTCGATGCACGGGTCGAGTCGCCGAGAGCGGTGGCGAACTTGGCACCCTCGCGGAGCGCGCGGTGCTGGACAGCGGTGGTGAAGAAAGAGGAGCCTTGCACTTCCTCCCACAAATCAAAACCTAGAAGGAATTAGGATGAATATTCCACCCAATACGAAATGCTTACCGGTTTGATTCCAATACTGAGCAACATAGTCGAGGTCGAGCTTGACAAGCGGCCAGACCGTTCCCGTGACATAAGAGTTGATGGTACCCAGATAGTTGGCATAGGTGATCATGGTGGTAGCCCGGAGCTGCAATAGCCTAGTTAGTAAATAGGCATAATCGACTAGGACAACACATACAGCTGGGCCATCACGCTGCGGGCGACCCCAGGCCCCAGTAAAGGCAGTCTCGTCAATGTTGAACTTGGGTTCACCCAGCCCTCCGGAATTAACATTACCCGAGGGATTGGGGACCTGCTGGATGCGCCCCTGCGAAGCAATCCAGTTTTGAATTTGAGTGTTCAAGCTTGTATCACGGCCTTGGGTATATTGGTCGACCAAGAGCTTGAATACGAGGGAAGAGTCGCGCGTCCATGCGTAGACGTACTGCAAAAAGGTAAGCAGTTGTTCCAATATCAGATGTTAAAGCCTTACGTCGGGGTTCCTATGCAATACATTAGCAAACAGAAACCCCTGAACTTTGGGTTAAACTCACGACTTGGAAGGAGACGCAACCACTACTCCGGACTTTGCGCCCTGATCCTTGGAGCCGTCCGCGCCGATGTTGGCCTACGCAGTTGCGTTGAAAAAGGTACTTTATGCAACCAAACTCTACTCACCAAAACTCCAGCTTTAGCGATAGGGGTTTCAGTCGTAATATAGGTGTCGATGGACGACTGGCGACGGTCGAGGCTCGGCACAAGAGCGAGCGCCGCAGTAGCGAATGTAAACGCAGTAGCGAGGATGCGCATTGCTCAAGAAAAGAGAGGACGTAGTAAAGAACGACTGCCAGCCGGTGCGACTCTTTATACAAGCGGACGCGAGGTAGGTTTGAAGATGCAAAATAAGTAATGAGCGTATATGTGTTCTGAAAGCTGCGTCTGGCTTTGCCGACGTCGTTCGACACGAGATTGGGAAGATGCCTGTCAAAGTCAGCCCGTGGATTAGGGGCTGACTGGTCACCTGGCCGCTGCTAATAGGGGAGCGAGCGCGTAAACTTCGTTTAGGTGTCGTACGCATACTGATAGAACGGATTCTAGAACTGTCGATCGGACGTAGCAGGAAGACTGATAGACGGATACACGTGAGCGACGTCAATGCCATGCGTACCGAACCGGCTAACCCATACCCGAGATGTCAATGATAAATCCTCATTCGGGGCGGACTCCAATATATGAAGCCCTTTATGGACATGGGAGGAATTGCTCGGAGGACTTCACGACTGATGGAAAACGTTCCCACGAATGTGCATTTCTCCGAGAATTCTAAAGGACTGTTCGTAAGTATCATATTGTCAAATATAGTGAATCAACGTGAGCAGTTGGGAAAGCGTGGATCAGAAATGACGGGATGGCCAAGCAAAATGCTCCGGTATCAAATAGAGGCCGTCTTCAATCGGGCGTTTTTACGTGGGTGATTGTTTTTTCGCGGGTTGGCCTACTAAATGCGTCGGTACATCCTACCACGTGGAGCATGGAACCTACCAGTTTGTGTTTTTTCACAGCATCTGCCCTTTTTTGCGCAATTTTCGTTTGTATCACAGTGCGACTGGAAACGTTACGGCCCGATGTGCTCGTGTGAGCCTGCAGTTCCTTGTCGTCTTTCTTTGCCGAAGAAGCAGATCTACGTTCTCGCCGACGTTGTCGTTTTGCTATGCGTCGATCTTTTTTGGATACTGGGGGGCCAGCCTACATGGTGTTAGAATCGGCTACAACGCCGACTTGGTACTCACCGGTCGCTCGGCCTTTTCACGCGGGGCCATGCGCACAGATTCGTCCAAGGCAGCAACTAGGAGCCTTGGATCCTCGTTGTCATCGCCAACACGAGCCGCCAAAGTCGCGAAACGTTTCATTCTCCGTTGATGTGTCTATCTTCGTATTCAATCAACGTATTGTAAGGTATCAACTCACTTACCGAAGAAGCCACATGCACCGAAATCATTTGGCTATGCTTGAGCTCCTTCCCTGGACATAGTATGCATGCTTTTGCATCGGAGTTTGTCTGAACTGAATAGAGTGGGTTGGATAAAGCCTCGGCAACTGTCATCGGTGCAGTCTCATCGGTATCATCCTCGCCCTCATCCTCTGGTTCGGATCCCTGACTGTCCTCCGAAATTTCTCTCTTTCTTTTGGCCGTAGAAGATCCTTGGATGATAGGCTCGTCCTCACCATCAGAATCGCTCAAGTCTCGAGAGCTATCATGGCCGGAGCTAGTGCCTGAATCAGACTCGTCCAAGTCGGTGTCATGCATCCCGAAAACCTGCTTCATTTCGTCGTCGAGCCCCGCCTCCTCCTCCTTTTCCTTCCTCCGAATACGCTTGTTGATTCGTTTGAACATGGTGGTGGACGAGGTAAGATGTCAAATTGTAAGTAGTAAGCGCCGAGCTCTTGTGGAGTACGGTGGCGCTCGCTACGAAATACACACCACCAACAGGACCGTTTAGCAAGAGCACAAAATGAGCCAGAAAAGATGCAGAAAGACACTCTGGAATATCTTTAGATAGTGGCCAATGGTATCGAGATAGAGATTGTACTCTAGGGGAAAACGATCATATATATTTGTAACACCGTGTCACCAAGTATGAAGGGCTAAATAGCTTAATTTAGCACAGGACAGGTGGCTTTGGTCAGATTTGCATCGAGAACTTAGGGCCGTCTTACTACCAAGAATCAGGGTAGAATCACTGGCAAACGTGAAGTTGAAGTATTACAATTCGCCGACTAGCACAAGTGGTCATTGTGCCAGCTCCCGTCGAAAAGGAAGAAGTAGTAGGACAACCGGGGAGAAAGGAATGTACCTACAGTGTTAGCAGTCAAGGGGGGGATGGGAATGCTGTCACGTGCTGCTGAATCCAAGTGCAGTATACCGCATCTCGATGCCCGAGACGTCTAAGACTCGTTGATGAATCCTGGATACTAAGCTAACTTGGTAAGTTCGTTTCTGGTACAATCATCAATCACAATACTAACTTGGGTGGTAGTCTGGTGGCGGCACCGACGGCTAAGCGCCGGGCTCTTGGCGGATATCTGTGGCGTACGGTGGCGGCTCAGGTGTCTGAAACACCTCTGAACGGTGTCTTAAAAATGTAAAACAAATACCATCGTGTTCCTGGGTCATTTTTGTCCTAGTAACATGGGTTTTAATAAGTATAAATCTCTATTTACCCTGGAAAAAGCCGGATTTTACTTCTGAACCTCCCAGGCGTGTTTCTGAGGCTAAAACAGCTCAGAAAAATGCGCAAAAATTGATTCCCGCTAGCTGATTTGAACAACTGACCGCGCTCCCCTAGGACCGCGTCGAGCCTGAAGCTCTGGGACTGCGTCGAGCCTGAAGCTCTGAGATCGCATCGAACCTGTCGCCCAGGACCGCGTGGAGGCCTCTCGAAACAGGCGCCCGCGTCTAGCGCCACGTGATCCTATGCTCATTTGTCCTTCAATGTGACCCTCCCCTTGCGGTTTTTGACGCTCCAAAAGATGCAGCAAAACATTCCCGCTGCCTGGATTGAACAGACCACCTCGTCATTACGTAAGCATCACCTACTAGTGACACGCTCTACCACTGAGCTAAGCGGGAGTTATTAATACTAGCGCATATATTCATATCATCAAATATTTTCTATCCAATGAGCTCGGTTTTGGAATGAAGCGCATCTGTAAGGGCTTCCACAGTGGCCAAAACGCCCAAAAACAAGGCCCGAAATGAGCTCTACAAAAAGGCCTAAAATGGCGCATAAAGTGGTCGGGGAATCGTCCCTATGTCATCTTTGGAGCAAGTTTCGCTCTAAATGTAAACTTTGCACATCTCACCCCGTTCTTCATGATTTAACTCGCCTAACTGTTCATCAACGGACTGTTTGAGCGTCTTGGTGGCACTATTTCGTTGTTGGGGCTAAAACGTGCTCTCCATTTCAGCTCAGTTTAGCTCTTGTTTTAGGACTCGTTTTAATGCAGTTTTGGCAACTGTGAACCCCCTCATTAGGGTCATTCAGAGCTACTAAAATGGTTCTAAAATGAGGCCTAAAACACGCTCCAAAACGAGGTCTAAAACGACGCATACAGTGGATAGCTACCCGTAAGGGCTAACCGCTATCCATCTTTGGTATTTTCAAGTTCGTTTTGTGTCTTTTTTATGTATGAAATGATGCCTGGGAAAATACTCACGCCTACGTGCAGCGCCCTTGAATGTGTCCTGGCAATTTGTGACAGACAACCGGGCCGTCTTGGTACGAATCTTGCGTGCGCAAAAGTGCCCTAGATAGGATAAAATGGTGGTTGGCGCTTACGGGCAACTACCCAATGAGCACAAGTACTCATAACTTTGACGTTATCGCTCCGAATATGTATGAGGCAGCGAGACGGAGAGATGGTGGACACATGTCGCTCTAGGGCCTATGACCTAGTAAGCACACATTGCCTCCGCAGGCTGTGGCAATGCCCTACGCACTAATGATAGCCATAGGGGCCAGCAGAGAGTCACCATGTATATACATATATTGATCCTTAGTATCTTACACACCTCATCCAGGCGAGTTGTCACGGTGATGTTGACTACCAGAGGCAGTCCAGGCGTGGACCGGGTCTGCCCACCCAGCGACTGAGTTGATGGCGATGGCTGGGCATGGTATGGCATCCAGGTGAGTGCGCCAGCAGGGACGGCTGTAATGGTCGGCGGCTGAAGCTCGTGGGGTGATGGACAAGCAAAAATAACTCAGGATAAGGGTATGTCCATTCGCTACGTCACACCTGCATACATGCACGAATTGACTCGTGCTACAGGATAATAAGGTAAATGCATATGAAAAGCACTGAGGACACGACATAAGCTAAATGCATACTAGATATAATGAACTATGTTAGGAGCAAAACCTCCCCATTTAGATATACTCATGCGCGGTTTTAATAAGTACTCGAGAGCTTAAGCAACATCTAATGCGCTCGAACACTCAGGCCGCTCGTGAATGCCCTAGTAAGTAGGGAGTCTTCACACCTAGATTTGCCCCTGATTTTGACATACGCGCCGACACAGGTATATGGTCTAGCGTAATCTCGGAGGTGGCCATGGCGTGACACAAGATAGTTACAGGGATGCCCCACAACAAGCAGAACTAATCTATCTAATCGCTCTTAGAACATATAAAAGGCACATACGAGGGCACAATAATAAAGGTGAAGTATGGTTGTGCAAGGGAGAATTACTGAAGGGCGGGTGGTTCACTAGGAATCCCTCGGTCACCGGCGTCTGGCGAGCGCTACATCACATGATAGGACAGCTTTGCCGTCGTACAGTTGCGCGGGTTAAAATGCCGACTAATTATAGGGGGGAGTGACTTTGCATTAGCAAGGTGATGGCCTGCTAGTTCCAACGAGGATTGTGGTCAATGATTGTTTCAGTTTCCAGGTGAAATTGCCGAGCTCCAAGTATAGCCACGATGCGCAGGTCGAGCTGATGGAGTCCCAACAACACGTTTTGCAATCGGACGCACTCGGTTGTGCAGCTAGTACAGTCGGGAATCGGGCTTTCTTGGTTGAAGGATCTCGCAGGTCAAGCCTATATTCATTCTCGTAGACATGGCAGAAGGCAGATGGCCTTACTAGATTTTATAGGAGCGATTCTGTAAGTAGCAATCTTTTGCAGGAGGACCCCCAAGCATTTTAGCTAAAAAAAAACAAACTGATTTATATGTGGTACTGTCTAACCTCGGATTAGCCCAACGCATACAGCGAAAAATGGCACAAGCCATATGACAACGTGAAGAGTTGTACATGTGTGGGGAGCACTATAAAGTATAAAAATAGACTTGAGCAATCGTCGAGCATCTACGACTACGCTACGTGCCGCATTTAGACACACTTACTTGCATGCAATGGCGAAGAAGGAAGCGAGAATACGTGTCGTTGCGGCAGGATCGCGGAGCAGCTCAAGGGAACATAGTCTTGGCAAATATTTCTGCGTCTGGGTTGCGTGGTGGGTGGGGAATCGGTGCTTAGGACTCAACACCTGGGACTATTTCGCGTTGGCTTAGACGGTGTACCTTTGTATTTACAATAATCTAGCCTTCGATTTTTTCGGTGCACAGGGAATAACCTTGCTTCTGCAAGGTCACTCCAGGGGTCGATATTGTTACGCGAAATCGTGCAATCACTAAATCACATGGTAAATGCAGTATCTCTTGCTGTACTTACTGTAAATCAGGCACCAATGTCGTAGCCTCATCTCATGCCATCTCCGCCGAGATCGGATGTTAGCGCTTATCTGAGCGAACCAACGCGAACCAACGCCGTCGAGCTAGAGCCTGTTGTACTGTAATGGACTCGAACCCACCTTGCGACTGCAAGGTCCATGACGAGTCGATTTTTAACCCCTTCGAAAGCGTGCCAGACAAGTGGCGTCGAAGGTTGCTCCCAGCCTCGACCACCAAACGAACATCAATTCGCACCGGACATTCTCTATATGAAACTCGTCGCAGCGAACTCGGGGACCTCACGTATAGCTGTAAGGTGATTCGGTATGTTCTCCTGCTTTTTCTCATTAGGCAATCTTTCATAGAAAGCCACATCTTTCACAGCAGGATCTTTGTGCTCAACCTGAAGTGCTGGCCACCCGCGGTTGGGCGCTACGCGTGTCGCGACCTGTTCTGGCTCTGAGTTCTTGGCTCAAGGAGTGGTCGTTCTGTGTTCTAATGGTGTTTCCGTAATGCTAGTCTCTAAATCGTATTCGTGTGCTAAGTAAGGTACAGTCGCTGTGGTAGACGAGATAAAGCAAGATGGGGTCCCATCTTGCCTCCGCTATCCTTTATATACATGGGAGGCCGCAGTCCGCAGTCCGCAGTCCGCAGCATGTGTCACGTGTGCTTAGTAGTCGTTAAGTAATGCCAGCTAGGGTTGTCGCGGCTCCGAATCTTATAAGAGCCGCTTTGTAATCCTAGGGTCACGTGACAGTGCCAGCTGCCAGCTAGTTACCAAGGGAGAGATTACTTGCTGGCACGTTTCGTTACGGTGGTTACTGGTCACGTGATGTTACAAGTCACGTGACAGTGCCAGCTGCCAGCTAGTTACCAAGGGAGAGATTACTTGCTGGCACGTTTCGTTACGGTGGTTACTGGTCAC